TTCAGTTCTTGGCATTTAGTTGAGAAACAAATATTTATTAAATATGTATTTTAAATAAACGTATACAAGATGATCCAAATATGACAACATACACAAATCTTTTAAAAACTGCTCCGGCTGAGAGTATAGAAATCAAGCCATAATTTTTTTTTTTATTGAAAAACGTGGCATTATTTAATTAATATTTATTTGGTTATGTAAAATTTACGGTGACAAGTCCTTGAAAATGCACAAAAATATGGATAATAAAAAGTAGACAATAGGCCTTATGAATAAAAGATAAGCTATTGCTTTTTCTTAAAATTTCAGACCTTTTACTCAATTTATTCAAACCAACTTAGGTAAAAGATCTGAGATTTTAAGAAAAAGCAATTGCTTATTTCTTATTCATAAGGCCTAATGACTCGACTAAATTGTTGAACCATTTCATATTCCACTTTTTCAAATTAAAATGTCGTTGCATACTTTATACCGTCCCTTGTTTTAAAAACAACGTCGTATCTATATTTTCAGTGCCAACCTTGTTCTAAATGACCAGCACTTTATGTCCAATTTTTTCAAAATTTATATGTGATATCTTCGATTGCGCTGGTATCGATTTTAGGTATGAGTTGGCAAACAATTTTTTTTAAATTTTTTGAGTCTCCATAGAGGATTCAGAAATTTGGCCCCTGTGCGACACACCTTAACCGTCTCCAATCGGGACCAAAATTTGTATGTGATATCTGTGACCGTGCTATTACCGATTGAAGGGGTGAGACTGAAAAAAACGCTCTTTTGATTTTTTTTTAAGGACCACCCTAATGTACATATGGACAAGTATCTCTATGTATGTGGAAAAAGTAAAGTCGGAATTTTAATGCTCTCACCCCCTAGGATTGTTCCATACCGAAAAATATACTCCGACTTGACTTTTTCACACGAAGTTTTGGACCACCCTACTATATATTCATTCACCATCTACGAACGTCCTTGGCCGAAGTGTTGTAATGATACATTTTTTGACGCTTCAATGGTACACGTGTCAGTCAATGATAGATGATGTTGGTGGTCATCGTCACTTAAAGCCCGATTAAAATCGTTAAAATTTAGTTAGCGGTGCTTTGATGCGTACATACATATGTATGTACATATCTACATTAGCATATACAGAATTCTTGTAGTATGCATAACGGACGCTGCCATGTAAGGTAGCCATGAATATATGTAGATATGTATTTACAACAACTTGTTGCCATATTCCATTAAGAAAATGAATTATTTGTTTATGACAATGTGACTGTAAAATGGTTTACGATAATGAATTCAAATTTGTTTGGCTTTATTCGAGCGTTTGATAGACCATAAAAGTGTTGCCTTTTGTTGTGATTGCAAACTACATCATTAAATGTAAAATTTTACTGCTAAGCTCTATAGCTTTTTACAGTAGTTATTTTGAAGATTTACGATTCGCGCTGTGACGCATTAGCCACGTTTTTCGGAAAGTTTAAACAAAATGTGCTGTTAATTCAAGCACGTGTACACTCCGATTTTTTTTTTCAAAAATATTATTTGACGTATCTAATATTGAAAAGAACTTCATACCTCCATTCCTTTAAAGACAATGGCGCATGAAATCAATATTCTTACCTAGTAGACAATACTACAAAATATGGAGGCCTCTTAGGAGCTCTTATTTTTGAACGTTTTGCATAGAATTGCTAGAGATTCAAGGCCTCCGGAACCTGCTTGTCTTACGAGGGAAACATTTAAACGAAATAATAATGACACAGTTCTAATTTACACCTGTACAAAAAACATACCAACACATCTATTGCATTTTTTTTTTTTTATTTGACTTCCGTTGCCTTGGAAGCAAATGTTTTCACCTTCCTTCGAATCAGTGATGGAAAAGTAGGCACAACAGTGCCATTTTTGGGACTTTCATTCTCAGAGGCACTTTTGGCACAATTCATCCTGTTTTGGCACAATCATAAAATATAGAAATTTAGCATAGAATGCCAATATATAACAAAAAATCACATACCACCATACCAGATTAGAAAATTACAACAAATGGAAATTAAAAGCACTGAGAAATATTTATAAACCGCTGAGTTCTATTGTAAATATGCAGTACGAAAAGTAAGTTTTCCCAACAACAAGCTTTTTATTCGGAATTTTTAGAAAGATTTTAAGTTTGAAGTTTTATAGTCCATTAAATAAAACTGCAAGTTTCTGCAATATGCAATATGTTTTTTTTTGCTGCCGGTTTCATAAATTTTCATCCATTTCGAACACATTTTACATCGAAAAAAAAATTAGTAAAATCGTAAACTTGGAATCTCACTAAAAATTCTGAATTCAAAGCTTTTTGTTGCGAAAACCTGCTGAATTTTTTTTCAATATTTGTACAAAGTATGAAATGCCGATTTGTGTACATATATTGTGTTTATTAAATTGTGAGTTACTCTTTTATATAAAATCGAACAAAATATAATCAATGAAAAGAATTGGCGAAACTGGTGAAAATGTCTCACTGCCATTATTTCGCATATAGGTACATACATACATATGTGTGTAAAAATGTCAGAATAGCTATATTTCGGTATACTTCCCCTCCTTAATTGGACGTTGGACATATAAATTCATTCTGAGTATAAGCTTGACAGGCGATATGGAGAAGTGGACTTCCACCAAACTCAAATACTAACGGGACACCGTTGTTTTAAAGCGTACCTATACAGACTTACGTCGGCCGCTGCGGTGTAGTGGTAAGCAGTGCGCGCTTTCACTCCGCAGCATCCGGGTTCAAACCCTGGTCAAAGCAACATCGAAAAAATATAGAAAAAAGGTTTTTTCTTTCCGTCGGCAGGCAATGGCAAACCTCCGAGTGTATTTCTGCCATGAAAAACAGCTTCTCATAAAAATACAATCGCCGTTCGGAGTCGGCGTAAAACTGTAGGTCCCTCCGCTTTGTGTAACAATATCAAGGCGCACGCCACAAGTCGGAGGAGAAGCTCGGCCAAACACTAACATACGTGTAAGCGCCAATCTATTATTATTATTATACAGACTTACGTACGAGGATGATCACTAATGCACGGTATGTACTGAACAGGTAATCGATAACGGTGGTTCCACGGTAGAAGGGAAACGGAGCAGGGTTGGGTTTTTAGTGCGGTGAGCCGAAAGGCAAGTCCCACACATTTCGGCTTTCAATGCTTTGTGCCACCTCTACATAAATAATTTTAAATGAGGAGTTGCTTAGAAATGCCAATATGGAGCCCCTTTAACATCTGGATTCGAAGACTGAAATGGTTAGCCCGCACTGGGCGCAAATACGGCAGTACTGCAATGAAGGCCTTGGAATGGAATTCCCTAGTCGATAGAAGCATGTCCCCCGGCAAACCGCGCAAAACCTGGAGCAGGACAGAAGGAAGTGATCTGCTTGTTATCATCTCACTGTAGTAGTAAAAACGTAAAGAGCAAAAGATTTGGTTCTAAAACTTGAAGATAGCGGAAACCATTTTGCAGTAAAAAATACATCCTTAGGAGAAGGAGAAATCTACGCAGTCCAAACTCACTTCCAGTTTAAAAGACCAAGAGACTCTATGTGGATAGCTACCTTTCGAGGTGCAAGTGTGCACATAGCACTAAAGTATTCTGCTCAGTGATATAAAGGCGTTGGACCAGGGTTCTAGGCTTTATAGCTCGTAGAGGTTCGTAATCACCGGTTTTATTATATTTTTTACAATCAGACAGCAAGCTTATGGTCCTCGACTTTAAAGCAAACAAAAATAGCTCCAAGTGGTAGGCAATTTTGGCCAGACAAAGGGTAAGCTCAGGTATTTCTAAGCACAAGACCTTTTATGGCACTGCCAAATAGTTCTGTAAAGCGAACCTAGTCCTTCTGGAAGGCAAATTTGGGTCAACATTATTGGATGAAAGCCAGAAGATAACAGACAGGCGAAAACCGTCGTTTCAGAAATAGCAGATCCAAAACCTCTTTATTTGATTAGAATAGCCACATTGATATTGCAACGTGTTAAAGCAATTATCAACCTAGGAGTGTCTAATCAAATGCTGATATTTCTACTTTCGGTTTGATATAATCTTCAAGATGAGGAACATCTTGACGCATCGCGACGTTTTTTCAAACGAATAAATAGCGATGTTTTCCATGTACATATCATCGGCTTGAGCAGTCTTGTTGGTCACTCTTCCTGTAAAGTAATGTATTGTAGTAAGATTATCTATTGATTAGACGCTCTCTAGAGCAGTTTTTGATCTATACAAGACGAAGAACATGAAACAACAAAGACCCTGTAGGACCCTCGTTAGCCTCAGACTTTATTTTTTAGGCTCAACGTATATCCACTCTTGCCCGCCTGAACATGATTTTTTAAATATTTTTTTTTTTTTTTTTTTTTTAAATAATTACGGTTACCGATAGCTCTCAACGAATTTCTCCACAAGGAAGTACATACATAGTGAAAATGCAATCGAAAATTGCTTGCAGCATTAAACTGCATTTGCTATGCGTAAATTTTCAAATTCCCATAACTTTTGATTAGAAAATGGTAAAAAAGTCACGAAATCGCAAACAAATCGCATTGAACCAACACAAATATTTTCACATACAGTAAAAACAACAAATCAACCTTTCACACAAACATACAAACTCTACTTTTGTGCGAACAAAAAAATTATATATGTACGTGCGAATATCGGCGACTTAATCAACATGTTTGCTTGTGCGGTTTGTCAGCAACAACAATAAAAAAAACACCGGCAAGCGAATAACAGCCAACATTCAGCTGTGTGTTAACATATCGCTACAGCCTCTCGTAAATCAATGCGCATGCGCTTGTCGACGTTGTTGTGATTTTACGCGCACTACACTAGTTTGTTTTAATTTTTTATTTTTTTGGTGTAAAAGGAACAAAAATCTTGAGAAACTATGGAAATGGAATTTCAATCCTACGAATGCAAGTGAAACAGCCAAAACAACAACTTACCAAACAAACTGTTCGTCTGCGCACTCTGCACCAGGCAAATGGCAACGATGAACACAGTTGTCAGCAGCCAGGAGCTGAACTTTGACCGCTGTCCTGGCCATGGCCGTAAATGCAGCCGCCGTTGCATAAGTGGCTCACCACCTTGTTGTTGCTTATGTTGTTGTTGTTGTTGTTGCCGATGTTGCAGCAGCTGTGCTTGTGAGGGCCATATTCGTTGTTGTTGCTGTTGCCGTTGGCTGGAGTCACTTGGCTCGCTTGCGCAACAACAGTCAACCTCCTGCTTGCCATCGCCAACAACAACAGCGCCAATGTTGCTTGCAACAACTGTCATTGTGCGCACGATTTTGTTGTACACTGTCAGCAGTGTTGGCTTTGTTGCTGTTGTTATCGTTGTTCTAGTTGGTATGGCTGTGGCGGCTGCTATTTTCGTTGTTGTTGCTGTTGCTGCAGGCAGTGCATGGGCTTCCCTTGTTGTTGTTTTAATTACATGTTGCCATTTTAGTTGCCGTCGGTGCGGCTTTTGCCTGCTTCGCTTTTCCTTTTGCATTGCGAGGGTTTTTTCTCAGCGGTTTGCTACGCGCTTGTTTTTAGATTCCTTTTTTTTCTTTTATTTATTTTTTGCCAGTATTGCCAGATTACAGCGTTGTGTTGCAGCGTCTTCTCATTTCAATGTGTTGTTGTTGCTTGTTGTTGTTTCGGATTTATAACCTCATTACGGCCTGAAATGAAGAAAATATAGATTTTCAAATGTTTTAATTTGAAGCGATTTTTTATTTAATAAGATTTTATGTTTGTAATCTAACGAAGGCTTTAGTGTGGTATTTTTTTTCGTAACGTTAGCCTGGACATGGGGCCTCACATATTCCAAATATCCGGGAATATATTGGCTGCAATTCCTAGTAAAATTGATAAATAACATTTTACAGGACAATTCTGGCAACTGTTTTTCAACTCACCGCAGTCTTTCGTAAGAAAACGAGGAGGTCTTAACGTTGTTCTATTTGTCTTTTAGCAATAAATTTTCTAAAAATTAAATTAAATTAAAAAATGCATAGCTTTCTTTCCAAAGTGACACAACAAAAACAAAAACTAAAAGAAAATTAAATGAAAAAAGGACAACAATTTTCTATAAATTAAATGAAATAAAAAAATCTTTTGTTAATATTATTGTAACGCATTAATATTTGTTTCAACAGTTTTATTGAACTTTATGCTGATATTTCCGCTTAGACTTTCTTGCTTTTTCCAAATTTCCAAAACAAAAGAAAAAAAAATCGTTGTATAAAGCTCAATCATGCTTTTGAAAAAATATGTTTTTCTTTTTAAAACAATAAATTCTTAAAAATAAAAGAAATCTAAATTCAAAAACAGACAAAATTAAAAAAGAAAAAAATACTTGAGGTTTAACATTTTTCTTTTGACAACAACTAAATCTAAAAATTGAAAAAAAAATTCAAATAAAAAAATTTAAAAATGTTCTAAAAATTTAATTTAAATAAAATAAATATTTACCTTTTTAAAACAATAAAATTTTAAAACCTTAAGGTACATCAAATTAAAAAAGGAAAATAAGAAATAAAAAAAAATCTAATTTTCTTAGAATTACACGTATAATCCTTTGGTGTACACGCGCATAGTCGAAAAAAATACAAAGTGAGCCTCCCTAATGTAACGACCCACAATTTTTCACATACATAAATTAATAATAAATAATATCAATAGTATGAATTACTGTATATATTACTGTATATATTACATATGTACATAAAATTTTACCCAGAGTGGCATCCCTAATGCACTTTAATGCCTCCTGAGCACGCTTACCTCTTTTATCTTTTAGCAATTTTAATTTATGTTATTTTATTATTTTTTTCTGCAATTCAAATTAATGTTGAGAAATTTATTTACATTTTTCAATGCGTCTTTCTCAGAATCAAAAATATGTCGAGTACTTCGCAGTTTTAGCTAAAAATAAACTGCTCTTGTCTATGAAAAATACGCAATTATGTAAAATAAGCAGCAATTATGCTGCCACGCATTAACACTTTGTCGAATTTTGAGTCAATATTCGGTTGAACCATTGAAAGTCAAGCAGCTACTCGGTAAACATGCGTCAATTACT